CTTGTTCTTATTTTACACACTTTTCAAAGATAGAAATTTTTATTTTACAGCAATACTGTACTGTATTATAGAATGTATTACATAGTAGAGTAGATATAATGTTGATATAATCTTTTGAAACAACTTTACTGTATGTGATAGCTTGATTTTTTTGGGGTTCTTTTTGTATTTTTTTTTAAATTAATTAAAGACCTCATTTGACATTTACTATTAGCCTCAATTCGTCCTTAATTTGTTATTATGTCTTAAGCAATTTCAACCTCAGTGTTCTTATAAATTGTGTTCTTATATATTTAAAAAAAGGCTCTTGATAGGAGCATAAGTATACTGCAGAAACTAGGTCAAAATCACTTTAAAAATAGTCAATGGACCTTTCCGCTAAGCTCTGCCCCTTGGATATTGTTGCCAAGGTCCCACAAGACGGCAGTGTTAAAACATACGCGAACACGTGCGTTTGTGGGACAACACGTGTGTTTGTAAGACGCGCGCGTATTCCTAGCGCTGTTCTGATAAGTCAGTTGTTAAGTTTGATTGACAGTCTGGAAAGGTCTATTATCGGACAAGGTGCTATCAGCCATATCAACTCATTGATTGAAAACTAAATTCACACTGTACATGGCATGCCTGTCGAATGAAATGAACTGTTTTACAGAAAAATTCCATGAACCTTAACATTTCATTTTACAGAAAAAAAAATCCACTATCACAGCATAGACTATATCTGCACAAGCGCAGTGTAATCGAAAAGTGTAGTTATGCGCAGTTGAAACAACAAGAGAAATGATAAGGATGAGATAATTAGTTACTTACCCGTAATAGTATTTTGGAATTGTTTTTGTTAAATAAATACTGATCGTGTAACCTCGACACGTGTCGTTTTTCCGGTCGCATTCACATTCAAAGGAGTCTTGTATTTCATGTAGCTTCTTGTCTATTAGATTTGCTAGATAAAGTATAAAGATATACACCGCAAACGTCACACAGACGGTTATACAATACATGAACTCTACTAGGTACATTTTGACATTTGACATTTCAATAGAATGTTAACAGGTGGTGGTTAGGCTTACTTGACTGAAACTATATAATAGACAAAATCCATGTACATACATATCATTTTCCCCATCTATATACCTATATTATATATATATAATATATATATAATATATATATATACTTTATATATATATATATATATATTTGAACAATTATATAAAGAATAATGAAAGTGCTCGTATAGGAACGTAATATACTATTATCGTATCAAGCATTGCCCTTCAACATGAAAAGTTCCTTATTTTCAGTAGTATAAAAAGTGTCGTGATTCGAACCTGCAATCTCTCGCTATCAAGGCGAGTATCATACCATTGGACCACGGAGATCATATGCACTGATCTAACCCCCAGGCACTTTCTCTCATAAGGCTGATGAAACGCTCACACAGCCCTTCAACGAAGAGTTCCATATTTTTAGTTGTATGAAAAAGTGTCTGTAGCACGATTCGAACTTGTAGCCTCTTGCTATCATACCGTTAAATCATACAAACCTAGAACAGTATAGGCGCAAATAGCCACCAAAAAGCTTTTCTAGCTAGCTAAACAGTTGCTCCACAATTTATAAGTTGAACCCATGCTCAATGTATGCATGTACCGATACCTGTACACAGTACACGTATAAAATAAACGCGTCGCAAAAATGTATTATGACGTGTCTTGTTTTGTCACATTATCGCATCACAATGACTTTATCCATTAGTATGATTATCTGTATCTATCGTGCTCCACCTTTCTAATACATCAGTCGCACTGATTCGTATCCACTGGCGACAGTTATGTTGTCAAATGCATGCAATAGTGATCAGCTGGGTTTTAAGATTTATTACTCAGACGATTTGTCTTGTTGGATGTTTCATCTTTTCAGAGTATAATGATACCGTATTAATTCAAATAGACACCCTGCTTTGAATAAACGCCCCATCCAGAGCCTCATTTGGAATAAATTCCACAGATAAACGCCCCGGGGCATTTATTTTTTTCCCTCGAATAAACTTTAAATGGTCCTCAAATCCACACCCTACTACGGATCGTCACCAAAATTGCATCATTTCTTCATTTTACCATGAAAAACTATTCTGCAAAATGTCATTTTTATCCTTCTATAACTGGGACGTAGGCAATTTAAATGACCCTAAAAAATTTACACCCCAACCTGGATCAACCCTACACATAATAGTATCTTCCTTGAACTTGGGTTAAACTCTCCCAAAAGTTTCATTCGGATCAGTTGACTCGTTTTTGAGATGTTTTCCTTTAAATGGTCCTCATATTCATACCCTACGCCGGATCATCACAAAAATTCAGTCATTTTTTTACTGGACTTTTACAGACTATTATAGAAAACTTTTTATAGATATTTACGTCTGGGATCTCAAAAATTTAAATGACCCTCCAATTTACACCCTTGACTGATTCGTCGCCAACACATAATACTATCTTCCTTGTAACTTGGTTAAACTATTTCCGAATGTTTCATTCAGATCAGATGATCCTTTTTCGAAATATGTGGTCTGGGACGTTTTACTTTCAATGGTCCTCAGATCTACACCCTACTCCGGATCGTCACAAAAAATTAATAATTTCTTTACTCGACATTGACAAACTGTTATATATAAGGTTTAAATTATACCTATTGATTTTTTAAAGAGATATTTAGTTTTGGGTCCTCAGATATTGAAATGATCCTTAAATTTACTTCCTTGACTGATTCGTCGCCAGCAGATAATAATTTCTTTCTTGTAACTTGGTTAAACTCTTCCCGACTTTTTCATTCAGATCGGTTGATCCGTTTTCGAAATATGTGGTTTGGGACGTTTTCCTTAAAATGGTCCTCAGATCCACACCATACTGCGGATCGTCACAAAAATGGGGTTGGGGGCAGAAAGGAAAAGAAAAAAATGATAGCCTAGCCCAGAATGCCTCAAATGTTATTTTCGGGCGTCTAGAACACAAAAAATTCCCGGGCCACTATTAGAGTGTTGTCTCGATCGGCCCAACTTTCGCCCCCCGCCCTCTTTTGGACATTTCTGGATCCGCCCCTGCTGTTTGACCTTAAATCACTTTAATTGGTCCTCACACGCACACCCCACCATAAATTGACACTAAATATTAGGAGGCACATCCTTGATATATGGCCTTATGCTTCGGCAAAGCACGGAAAAATTCTAAGCATGGGAGTGACCAAAGTGACGGCCAGAAAAAAAAGTGCAATAAGATAGGAAAAATATATGCAAGAAAAAAGAAAAAAAATCGGAACAAAAGCAGTACTGGGAAAAGCCAATAATAATAATATTGAATGATGATAATAAAATGATAATAATATTACAGTAGGAGCCTATTAATATTGTAAATATGCCTAAAATGAATAATCAGTATAACCTTAGTACATGTATACGTTTAGTTTACAATTTAATTTAATAACACCAATATCAACTTTTCTAAATGTGACGAGTTGATAAACTTTAAAACAAATTCTCATCAGCCAGTGTATAGATTTGGTAAAGTTTCAATTTGATTAAGATATTTTTTTTCACTTGCACTTGATTGTTTTGAATAGTTTGAATCTCCGGAGAAGGAAGAAAGTGTAATTTTCTCGTTAGCGGGGTTCCATCATCAAATCTGACGTTCTTTCTCTGATCATGTTTGATCATAAAACTGTCCTTCCATGAATAGCATCGGTAATACAATACTTGATAACACATGAATTGATAAGCATATCAAACGCATTTTGTCTACATTCTGTTCTCCAATCTGTATTATTATTATTATTATTATTATTATTATTATTATTATTATTATTATTATTATTATTATTATATAAGGTACGTTGTTAAATGAAACTACTACCACTATAATTGCTGCTGATGCAGCTGCTGTCACCGTTTTTTTTTTTTTGTTGTTGTTTTTTTTTTGTACTTTCGTGATTGTTCTTTGCCGTTTCTGTTTATGTACATTTTAATTGTTTGAGACAAATAAATGAAATGAAATGAGCGTCTTAATTAGAACATGACATTTCATTTTTACTTCATTGTTCAATTTGTTTATTTGAAATTTAAAAAAAATAAATCTATACTATCATAGTGAAATATCAACCAATATAATCATAATAACTCTAAACAACACATTTAATAATAAACCAGTTGTGTCCGTATGTTTATTCTATTCTCAACATAACACAATTTCACACTGGTACGTGTTCGCTACAATTTTCATACGACGTTCAGCGGATTGGTAATACTTCTGTAGATCAATTTTAATGACTTTATCCATTATTGCCGTTTATAACAGCTTTTAAAGCACGCACTTGATGGACGTAGTGATGATGGGTCTAATAAGTCTGTACGTGCATACTTACTGTTATGCACAAATCATTAAATGATTTTGCAGTTTAATATGTTTTTAATATCGCTTGCCTTCGATGTATTTCGACGAAAACAATAGCAATCGCTTTAGATTGTTTCAATATTCATTTTCTTTACAAAGTAAGACTATCACATGGGCATTTTAACGTTATCTAATTGGACAATATGCTGTTGTCATATCGGCTGATTATTAGTTTTTACGTAGGATTCGTTAACGTTGAGCAAATACGTTGACACAACATTATTAAGAAAACCATGTGTCGTGTTGATCAGATTGACATTTCCAAACACTAAATCTATTGTATCTTTGATGTGTAAACTGCGATTTAGAGCACACAATTTTGAAATTGAAAGAGGGAAAATATACAACCTGCAAAACCAATCATGAAAATAGACTCTATGTAAAAATCGGTGAAGTTTAAGATCAATTAAATCAATTTCTTCTGCCCCATTTACTTAATTACAATTGCGATTATCTTTTATGAGTTCATGAATAAATAATATGCCTACTATATAATAATAATAATAATAATAATAATAATAACAATAAATATAATATAGGATTAAATCTAATTTTAATACCGTAATAGTAATAATAATAATAATAATAATAATAATAATAATAATAATAATAATAATAATAATAATAACAATAATAATATTTATCGTAATAATAATGGCAATAATGTAAAAGTTAATGTAAAGATAATGTTCATAACAACATTGAAATGTAAATTTACATTTCACTCAACAAACATTTCAATAAGGCGAGTAGATAGGCCAGAGTTCAGGTTGGATAGCAATTAAGTCGAACCGTCTTATCTGTCTAATATTATGGGCTTCTCATCTCTGGCCTACGTAAATCAACCACAGACTACTGGGTGATAGGCTGCTTTTATAATCGAGACAAGTGTATTCTGTATGTCATATTCTTTAAAGTATTCGCTATTGTTACAGAACGTTAGTCGTAAACCGGCTTTTTTTTTACTAGAAAATATATTATTAACAAATAGAAAGGATTTATTTAACCCACTCACATTTAAATATATATTTTAAAAAAAACATCAGAAATATTGTTAAAAATACGGTAAATGCCTGCCACGGAATACAGTACGCTTTAAATATCTGTGATGGAATAGGCCCAAGTAAGGATACCGTATCAGATGAACTTAAAAACTTGCAACCCAGAGCAGCCAATGGCCGTACAATTTCTTTGTTTGGTTTTGAAGTGGGCTACAATTAGTATAAGGTCTAATCGCATATTGGCTCACTATTACTATTAATCATAAATTAGGCATTAGAAAATAATTAACCATCTACGCCTCCTGTGTTCACAACTCACACGAATACCTGTAAGTATTATTGTTGATTTTGTTTTTATTATACTCAAAACAGATAACATACTATCGGCATACTTAGTTTTACATTGTAGATGTTTTTGTTGTTGTTGATGTTGTTGTTGTTGATGATGATGATGATGATGATGATGATGATAATGGTGATGATGAAGATGATGGGGTGACGATGATGATGATGATGAAGATGATGGTGATGATTATGATGATGAAAATGATTGAATTAACTGTGTTAGTTTAATTATATTTTAAATAAACCATGATAAACGACGATAAAAATAACAATTACAAACTACAGCCTTACAATTTTCGTGTTTTTTAGTCAAATGAGATATTAAAATCAGTTTGCTTACCGTCTTGAACTGAGATTACCAGATCAGGATCGCAGATCAACGACTTTTTCCCTCCTCTGCCACATCCATACATGCTAACCTGGGGGTTTGGGTTGTGGGGACGGGACAATGCACAGGAGATGAAGAAACCGCTATACATCATTATAACCAGGATCAGTAGGGGGGTTTCTTTCATTGTCTTTCATGTTAAGTCATAGAAGAGTTCATGCTGTCTGCCGTGTACGCGCGCGTCCTTCATTACCTCTGCTACGTCATATAATTATGAATTTATGTTATGATTGGCCACCACCTAATGCGATCTGAAAAAAGCAGAGATTTTTAACATTATTATCATATATTATTATTATTATTATTATTATTATTATTATTATTATTATTATTATTATTATTATTATTATTATTATTATCATATATTATTATTATTATCATCATCATCATTATCATCATCGTCATCATTATCCTGACAATATTAGAACCATGATAATGAGGATGATTATCATCATCATCATCATCATCATAATCATTGTTATTATTATTATTAGTAAGTTTATTATTTATTCCTATTATCGTATCGATAATATTAATCATCGATATTTTTATCCTTTTTCAATATAAGCAGAAGTAGCAGTACCAAAATTAGTAGCATCAGCAGCAGTAGTAGTAGTAATAGTAGTACTGTAGTGCATATACCATTTGGATTATTGAATGTAACATTCATACTAGAAATATTCAAGCTTATAAGTCCGCCATTTATCTTAATTTGTCATCAATTTAGGCTCATTGACTCTGCATTTCTCCTGGCAATAAATTCAACCAACAGGCTGAAGAGGAATGCCGGAATGCCTGTCTTTGTGAAAATTTATGTTACGTTACGAATATGTATTTTTATTATTATTATTATTTTTATTATCATCATTATCATCATCGTCATCATTATCCTGACAATATTAGAACCATGAAAATGAGGATGATTATCATCATCATTGTTATTATTATTATTAGTAAGTTTATTATTTATTCCTATTATCGTTTTGTTCGTTTTGTATCGTTACTATTATCATCGATATTTTTATCCTTTTTCAATAAAACTGTATTATTACCTTAATGGTTTCAGACGAACTTAGGCTATCATGGTGGACAATTAGGATATATAATATTTATAATCATAGTATTAGTAATAATTAAAATATGGTTATAAAAATAATGTTGATAATAATGATAAGCATATAATTAGTATAATCATAAATTATCATTATAACGACGGTAATAATAATAATAATAGATAATAGTAATAATATTAATAATAATAATAATAGCAGTAGTAATAATTATATAGGCCTATATATATATGTA